TGTTTCTCTCACCTTTCATTAATCTCACTCCATGAAGATCTCAACTGGCAAAATGGTTAAGACTGGAAACTTGCAAACAACAAGCGCAAAGGGTTTCCACCCAGCTGAGAGATAAGGACCTTGGCTGTAATTATTCTAAGTGCTCGAGTAAATTAAGGAAGGGTAAATGTTGTCGAACCATATCCCGCAAGGATAAACTTTCGTGATCGGGAACTAAGTACAGCATCCCACTCTCTTTTCAGAGTGGGATAACTATCGGCCCAACGTGGAACCAACAGAAGTACGTCCTACAAAGTTTATCCTATTGCACTGGTCATCAAAAGTGCTACATAATGCAATGGAGATCATGCAAAAAAATTAAGCTCTACCCAAGGGTGGAAAAGAGTGCCGTGACCAAACATGCCCACTCCATGTCTGGCGCGAGTTTTTAAAGAGACTAAGAACACATGTAACGCTGCTGAAGTACAGAGAGGTGGCTGTGTACTAACGTTCTCAGCGAACCCAAATTCGCACCACCATTTTAGCAAGTGAAAGACTAATGAAAATAGAAATGGCACGTGAATTGAGGGGAGGGGGAAGAGAGGGGGTTTCATGGATTGGCAGATGGGTGGTGCACACCGAGACAATACGCAAACGAAATATATTTGTCCCTCGAGTCACTCTTTAAGAACCAGGGCCTAAGAATACATTTGTTTGATTTTGACTTTGGCAAATTTTGTTACTGTTCTTAAGGCTCAATCTGTGAAGACAAAGATGCCAGGCGATAGGCCCTTACAACTTTGACAATAACATAAAAGAGATGACCTGCTTGAGTCTGATTATGGGCCTATTTATACACCATAGATAGAGTGGAGACACACAAATCAGAAGGGAATCCAGTAAGTTGCACTCCATAATGAAAGCATTATGATCTCCGTTGGGTAACTAACCACTGTTTTTTTTCTGGGAAGTGAAGAGAAGGCACTAAACAAGCCCGATGTTTCCCCCTCAGTGTCTTTTGAGATGGCAGTGGAGGCTCTGCGCCGGTCACACTGTGCTTTGTACTGAGATCTTCCTGTCAGAAGGATTTAGTACCCACAACACCTCAGACTCTCTTCCCCACAGCTGTGTCTCTTAGGGAGGAGCAGGTCTGAAAACAGAACGGCTGCTAAAATATGGCTAAAAAAAAAAAGAAGCGTGCCGCAGGAAGATCAGAATTTGACTTGGAGGCAAGCTGAATAAACATCATCTCCCTCTTTCAATTCCATCATCAGATATGGATATTAGAGCCCCCTGACAACACATATGCTTTGGGTTTTTAACATGAGCTTTATCGTTAGCACCCGAGTACAGCCATTTATTCACAAAAAAAGACCTTAAGAAGAAATTCTGTAATTATATTATATGGGTTTATTAAAGCCTCAAGGAAGTCTTTCTTCTAAGCACATCCAGAGCTGGTAGGGGCTGTGGGGGCAGGGTGTTTACATGCCTGTGATTTGTAGTGACAGGTCTGTACTGGGAGACTTGGCAAGTTATTCAGTAACTGAACTGTGAGCAATGTAAGCCTGCTCACAGCTAAATGTAAATCAGCACGTTTTTCTTTTGGTGTTGGTGGGGTTACACACTCCTGTTACAGTTTCTTAAAGTATTTTTTTCTGTAAGTGAACTCCAGTGAGTTTTCACAAAATTTAACTGAAAATGGCACTGTCCTCCCTACTTCTTCCTCCAAGTCTGGCACTTAAACTGGCAATGTGAGTGTCTGGTAGAAATCAGGATTATAATACAAAGGAGGCAAAATAAAGAGGAATGTTGAGATATTGGTGCAGACTCACATGAGACCTAAAACTGGCAACACAACCAAACAAATTTGGTGGTACTACAGTGAGGAAGTACTGGATACATTTCTTAGTTTCCATGCCTCTTTCTATATCTCAGCTTTCCAATTTCTACATTTTGATTTGACAAAATAATGGGCAAAAACACGTTGGACATTGCCTTGCCGAGTTTCAAACGGGTTGACGGGGGGGGGGCTCAACACACCAAAATGAAGGGGCACCTGCCCTCACGCCGTCCAATCAAATATCCTCACCCCCACTGCTCAACTGCCAACCCCCCCAGTTATCACGGCCCTCTGCAGGTGTGCCGGCCCGAAAGAGGGAAGGAGAGGCGAGAAAATGGCCGGCTGAGGACAGGACTAGGATGAGAAAAGAAACAAAACACCAAATGGGCCCGATGGAGACGAAAACATTCCGAAGGCTCGTCCAGGTCACAGTAGCTGGTTTGGTCGTAGGAATCCTTGGCTGCCGAAACCCGCTCCGAGGCAGGTCTAATCCACAGGGGGCGCCGGGGGTTCTCGGCCGTGGTTCTGGAGAAACAAAGCCGCCGTCAACCGGTGAGGTCAGTCTACAGCCGTGCCACACTCTCCTATAAAACCTTGCTGCAAAACCCATCCGTAGAAAGACATTTCTAGGAGGCTTGAACCTGCTTTTTTTTTGTGTGTAAAAAGACATTTCACAACCTACTAAAAATGTAAAAGAGGAGGAGTTCTAGTGTTTCAGTGAGAAAAGGCCAGAGATGGAAATTTCAGCGCACGCATTTTCTGTGGAAGGACAGGAACCTCATGGAGCTGGAGGGATTTTCGTTCTTTTGGGTTTAACTGAGGGCACCCCGATGGCACAGTGGTTAGCACTGCTGCCTCGCAGTGATGGGGTCCTGGGTTTTAATTCAACTGGGGTGCATGGAGCTTGTTCTCTCTGTGTTCATGGGTTTCCACAGAGGGGGGGGATCTAGTATCCTCCCCACAGTCCAAAATCATAGTGGTAGGTTAACTGGCTGCTGGGAAAACTGGCCCTGTTGTGAATGCACATCCGTGTTCGTGTTAATGTACCCTGTGATGGACTGGCACCCCATCCAGAGTGTAACCCTGAACTGGAAGAAGCCTTTGGAAAATGGATGGATGGTTCCAACGTTTATATTGTGTCTAAATATATTGTCCACAAACAATGGATTTTATTTATATCATGTATACATGCATTTGTAAAAAATAATTTCTTAGAAAAAGTGATCATAAATGTGGCACTGCATATCAGTGTGTAATCAGTAGGGGACCAGATTTTTGGCAATGATCCGATTCTCTTTAGACATGTTGGTGACCGCCTTGCTCGGGCAGGCCGGGAGTACAGTGTTCCACAGCAAAGCAGCCAAAGAAGTCAGTTATCAATTGTCCAGATTCCACTGTTGACAGATCTTTGAGGAGTTGTGGTTTTCTGGGAGGCTGTGACTCTGCAGAAGCTGGCAAGAGAAGCACTCCTCCATGGGAATACTGGGACACTGGTATAAAAGGTGAAGCCACACTCTGACATAACTATAGATGTGCAACAATGATGGCGGCTTCGTAGTCAAGTGACTCATGAGACAGCTGTTGCCCACCAAGTCGGATATTCTCCCGTGGTAGAATTCTTGCCACCGCAGAGGACAGTCACCAGGCCCGGGCATGAACTTTTCACCCCACTGCCCTCAGGCAGGAGATACAAGAGCATACAGACACTCACCACCAGACTCCTCAATAGCTTCTACCCACAAGCGGTGCAGTTGGCGAACACACTTGGCCATGCCCCTCGGACCACACCTACACCATCTACCTCACTGTAATGTAATTATTGCACATCTGGAGTCATGGTTTATGTGTCTGCATTGTTTACATCGGAACTGTTTAGTTGTATTTTGTCTACTGTTTGCTTGTATATTGTCTAAATGCGCTGTCTGCACTTTGTGTTGTTGTTGGGGTTTTTTTAACAAATCGAGAGACTTTCTGCAAGTTAGAATTCCATTGTACCAGTACATGTACCGGTTACATATGGCAATAAAGTTCAAGCTCAGCTTCAACTGCCCTCTCTCTTACATTGTGTGGACCGGGAGGTTTGCCTGCGGCCCCAGGCCCCCTCATGCTGGCTGGCCTCAGGAGAAACAGTACCAGGGCAATCACAACCCAGGCCATCATGATCATGGGCACCGTCAGGTCACCACTGCTCGATGGACTGGGTCCCGGCACTGTGGAAAGAAAAAGGTCAATCGGCAAACTTTAATCAGAACTCTTCACGAGACCTGTACGTTTCTCTCATCGGGCGTGAAGCACGGTTTCTAAATGTTTAGAGAAAGACGTGGAAGTCGGAAATCCAAGTGAATGCCTAGAACGTACCACTGAAATGAAAATCTGCACTGTTGTGAAATTTATTTCTAAGCGCTGACTTATAGACTTATGCCTATAGTACCCAGTCCACTAAATCTTCATCACCTGCTCCTGCTGTATCAAAGTCCTAGTTTCACCTCACTCACACCGCGTCGAGAGTCAAGCACCAGCTCTCACACTCTCTGGTACTTTGGGCTCGCAGCACACATCTGATGTGGAGGACCAGTCAATCGCTCTTTCGGGAAAGCGAGTACTGTACCTCACCATCAGCTTTCCTCTGCAGGTTGGGTTCTAGCTATCTGGCCATGATGATAAGAATTCAAGAC